ACTTTAACGAAGTAAATATATTAAATGTAATAATTCCGTACTCGAAGTCCAGTATGTGCATGGCAAAAAATATTTATTTAATTTACGCCCGACGCTGCTTAATTTCTGTGATCGCACGAGAACCGATGTATTCAGCGTGGTATGGTCGTTGGAGATTTTACATTAGACGCCGCTGAATATGTCATTTTCGAGTATACGAGGATCACCAGGCTCAATAAGATACTCTAATGCGTCACTCGATAGCCGCAATACCAAAACAAGCTCCAACATAACACATGTACACAAACAAATGCCTTCGATTAGGAAAGGTATATATGAAGCTTTTGTACAATTGTTTATATGCCTGTTACGCTTCTGACGAATGTAGCATTGGCGCTGTTTTCTAGTGAGTACTTTCTATTTACTCTTATTTTTTGTAGTTTTCTAATAACTTTTTACCAAAGGAAAATATTATTAATATTATTTTCGTATTTAATGCATATAAATATGTTCATATATACTTTAAGCATGGCTTCAATGCCAAAAAAATATTCATCGATAGCAACGCAATGCAACAATTTGTATGCGCATGCGCAACTGCACAATATTTACATGTATACGTGTATGTAAACATGTTGGTAACACTCTTAGTGACTAGATGGCCGAATGTGAGGGCCGTTATATTGTTAAATCAATAGTTTTTGTACATTAATTCATTTATTATTTCAGGTGTTCTTGTTATTATTGTTGTAATTTTGATTTTTACATTCATGAAATTTGTACTTCATTGTTTTCATTTTTATTTAATTTAATTTAACTTAATTCAATTTATAATGCCTTTTTTTCATATAATAAAATAATAAAATGAATGTATTTTCTTTTTTTTTTTGCAAATTAATTAATTTAATTTAATTTGCATTTTAATTAATTCAATTTTTTAATTTAATTTGTTATAATTTTTATCAAAATAAATAGTGATTTATTTTAAAAATGTTGAAAAAATAAGAGTGAAATAAACTATAATTTTTCTGTTTTCAATTTATCGAGCATACCAAAAACAAAAATCATACATGGAATTCGCCGTTTAAAACATGGCATATTGAGAGTGAACAGTTTGAGTTGCACAGCATTGGCAACAATGTAAACAAAACCACACTGCAAATGCACCATACAGTTACACTCGCTCACCTATTACACTGGCTTTCTAATAAGCGCACTCTCATTACTCAGGCACACTCTCAATTGGTCGCAGAAGAAAGGGTAAACAAGCAGATAGAACAAGAATATACACCAAAACAAAAATCAGCTGTTGTGATAAGAAATTGCCGAGTGCACAAAGTGAAAGGCTACAACAACAACAACAACATAAGAAAAAAGAGGACGATGGAATATGAAAAAATTAATAGCAAATTAAGCACCCAAAGCAAAGTGCGACCAGGTATGCAACCACCTATATGCATGTGCTTAACTCCAAATGTAAATTTGGTGGAAAATAAAATTAAAAACAAACTAAAGTGTAGCAAAGTATGTTACACGTTGAAAAATATGGGAATAATAAAGCACTAAACAAAAAAAAAATATAAATTAGCAAGGCTTACGGCAACAACAAATATATGAAAAATTCAAAAAAAAAAATTTTTTTTGAGAATTCAGCGCATGTGTTTGGGCAGACACAAACAAAACACAAAAGAAGTAAATACACTACGGCGCACCTGTCTAGCATTTGGCCAACGACTTTTCTCACATCATCATTATTATCATCAACGGAATTATCATTATCAACACGTAGTAGTCAGCAAAATATTGTGCATTTCTTTCCGTAACTACGTTTGCACGCACACAGCGTAAAAAATATACAGAAATAGGTAGGTATGTGTGTATTTTCTTCTTTGCTTTCTTACCAACAGCGCCACTTCATGTCCACACTTTTACGCTTAATGCACAAACCAGAAAACACCAGCCGAACGCATGAATTAACAACATTTTCAGCTGCCGTACAATCATGGCCAACGAAAGTGAAGTTTATACTCGTTTGGTTGTATGTATGTACGTGTATGTATGAATGTAAATAAGTAGTGAAGAAAGAAGCCAAAGCGAATGAAACATGAAATGAACAGTCAACAGCAATAAATGAAATAAAACAAGCAAAGTAAAAAAAAGTTTCTCATTTAACTCAAAGCCACCAGAAAGCAACAGGCGAGTGCATTAATTTCACTTTCGTTTGCAGCAGCAAACTGAGCAGCAGTTAAAAGCAATAACAACACAACACTTGCTATGGAAACTCTTTCAAATACATACATACAGGCGTATGTACTTACACGTACGAGTATTGTTGCAAGTGGTGTGTTGTAGTGGCGCGCACAGGCGCAGCAACCGCAGCGGGGCTACAGAAAACAGACTCCCCAACCGCTGCCAATGCACTTTACCGATGAGGAAGCAAAGCTAAGCGACGTCATCGCACACAGCAACATTGTTGTTGTTGTTGTTGTTGCTGTTGATGCTCACGAGAGTTTGATAACGATGACAAATGCAAGACAGCACAAGCAACAACAAGGCAGTTAACTAATGAACATGCCAAAAACAAAGACTGGCCACACCAGTTGTATGGATGTAATAAAGCGGGATTTTATTTGGGATTTGCAAACACAAACTCCAGACGTCTATAATAACACACATACACGCACACCAACTCAACTCTCATGGTGGTAGGCAACACGTCTGTCATTTGGAGGCATTCTCCAAAAGGTAAAAATCCAAATTGGTCAATGGTTTCCCCCACATAATTGACGTAGCCTGTCTTGTAAACATTAACCGACATTGCTACAAGTTACTCACCAAATTACTAACTATTAAAAACATTGGTTTATAAATCCACAGATTTTACAATGTCAAGATACAAAACGTCAATGCCAAATTCCCAGCATTGCGCATAACCGAAGTGATACTGACGATATGAAAATCACCGTTAAAGTGTAGTTCGCAAGCAAAATTATTCGAAATAGGAAATAATGGCTAAAAGCTGTATAAAAAAAACTTTTAGTCTAGCACTTTTTTAGATTTAAAAATTTTAAAGTCGGTTTCAATACCAATCCAAATTATTTTAAACTAAAAAAAAATTTCATTTCGAAAACATTTTTTATTTTTTTTTAACAGTTAATTTGTTGGTTTTGAAATGATTTAATAAATTTCCTTCCGAAATTCTTGCTTTATTTTTCTCCATCGACTTACCAAATTAGCAAAATAATCCTGTCCTGCGGTAATGGCAGTGTTACGTTGCATTACCACGCCCACTCCGTGAAAGTTACGTTGCGGCAAAAGCGTTGAGATGTTGTTTGCTGTAGTTTTGCCGAGGAGAGCAGCAGCAACTGCAGCACTAGAGCTGAAGGATCTGCCAATTTTCTGTTGCCAAAATAGTTGGCCGAGCTGTTTTTGTGTTAGTTGGTTTCGTGTACCGACGACAACGTAAAGTCCTCTACGACCGGAAGTGCTTAAGCAAGCCATTTTTGTATTGTTATTTTGTATTAAGTGATTATTAAATTCAAAATTCACACTCTGAAACACTTTTTATACGATTGTTTTTTAGTATATTACTTGTTCAGGAAATAATTTTATCTTATTTTCTATTCACTCGTCCTTAATTTTTTTTGTATTTTGTGGTCCGGGTAAACTCTTCGCCGATAGATGGTCCTGGAATATGGAATTTGTTTGGATTTTTTTTTTTTTTCAAGTATTCGTACAAGGACACATGTCACTCGTTTTTGTTTTCGTTGTGGTTTCTTATTTAAAGCCAAGCTTGAAATATTAATTCATTTTTTTCCTATTAATCATCGATGCTCACTTTTCGCACATATGTATTATAAAATTTACTGCACACGCACAAGTTTTTTTGAAATTAAATTCAAACGGGGTTTCAAACTGATTCACTAACTGAAATACGGCCAAGACGACTACGGAACGACGATTACTTGCGTCTGACTCCAGCAGCTCCAACAAAGTGTCTGTTGTAGCTGACTACGACAATGCCTCATGCAGGTTATTACAATGTGGCAGCGGGCACAAGCTGTTAAGCAGATTTCGAAAAGAGAGCTTAAGAAACTACTGCAGCAGCGACAATGGAAATTCGTTCAATCGGTCTTGGTGAGCTACATTATAGCTTTGGTTGCGGCTGCGCAGTGGTGAGTATGTTTATGCCATAATATTGCCCACAGATACGAGAATGTGTTGGTAGTGGTGTAGTTAAGCAGCGCACACAAAGTGTTGAGTTTCTATTGATACGCTTAATCACAAGTATTTTTGGCTTACGCAAATGTAAGCAAAAGTCTGCCAGCAGTTAAACACGCACAAACGCTAATATTACTGACACCGGTTCCGCACATGCAACTAAGGTTATACAAACTTAATAGTTATGACACTTTTATACGATTCTAGAATGCTTTTCCAGCAGTCAATTACTACATAATTCGTAAGTTATCACAGAATTAGGAACAGAATATGACCACGAAACTACTGGTAATAAGTCGTTATATTACTTAATGTTACTATTTTTATTATTTAAGATACTATCATTTATAAATTGGAAACTCTTTGACGTAACTTAACTTTTTTATTTAATTTCCAAAAAAAAGTAAACCATCTGTGAAAACAGCTGTTTAGAGCTGCCATATTCACCAGATGAGCTCGTGGATAGCGCCATCTACATGTGAAGCTTCTCAGCTTTCCGAAAACTCATCAAATATATAACATGTATTGTTCTGAACCAAAATTTTAACGCGTTGTACAATTTGATATAATAAAAAGCGTTCTGTCTTGCAATAATTGCTGATTATATCATAACTCGCTGCAAATTCTACTATTTATCTCCTTCAATATTAATTCCATAATTATTCAATATTTTGTTGTTTATATGAAAACTGATAGATGTAGTAAAAATTTAAAAGCAAAGAACTTTGGTGAATTTCCACTTGGCCATGAGTGTCAAATCGTAGCACGCCTGAGGAAAATATAAATCAGCTGACAGATCTGTCATTTCGATTTTCATTTATAATTTTAATTTCATAGAAAATTTTAGTAACTTTCTTAAACAAATATCTAAAATAAAAATGTCACGAAACATCTATCTAAGCCTAAGTAACTTCCTAAATCGGCTTGAAAGTTTACTCTTCTTTGGACAACGAGGCAGACCTCCAAGTATGCTTCTAATCGAATTTACATAAATTGTTATTTAATCATGTGTGTGTATTTCATTTCTCCAGTGGAGTTCGCGTTAACTGGTATGCCGGGTTTTGAATCAAATTTACCAAAACTTTCAACAGAAAACCAGTCACCAGACAAGTTTAGTCTCAAGGAACTTTTGGGTGATGGTATCTTGTGGGCTGTGCCTAAACATCGTCGTACTATTGAAAAAAGGTTGAAACGGAAATTTGGTGTGCCAGAGTACAATTGGAAACCGCTAATTGCAAAGACCAATTTGCGCACATGCAACCAATGTGGTCATGATCACGAATTAGGCATACTATGTCGTAAGTAAAAACAGTCGTAAAAATTGTTGTAAATTTAGGGAACCTCTTGTTTCAGCACACTGTTACAAGAAAGTGGAACAGGAAACACGTTTGATGCAAGAAAAAATTCAACAAGAGTTAGGACTTGAGCCTATTGAAAATGAAGTAATCGTACTATACGAAGGAGAGCAAATGGAAAAATCAGCAGATGGTACAAACGAACGAAAAGTGCGTGTTGTAGAAATGGAAAAACCACGCCCCGTTTGGTTCAGCAAAAATTTAATGCAAAAGACCACTACGCAGCCAGCAGAGACGAAGGAAGTAAAGCCATCAAACTTAGGCTAAGTAACTGTAGTAAAAAAAAAATCTTTTTATCGTCAAAATTGTTAAAAGTAATGGATAGTTATCCGTTAAATAAACTTTATTTACTTGTAAACAAAAGTTCTTTGGAAGATGAATTGCTTTGTTTGATGAATCCATTATTAAACTCCACTGCAGTCATTGCCTTCTTTCCTTCGACTCGCAACTGATGTACTTCGATAAGTGTAAGCCCAGAGCAGCGCACCAAAAGGCATCGCCTGTGTCTGTCGTATGAGAAGGCGCCACAACTTTTATTTGCTAGAAATGCAGGTATTATTTGACTTTCTGGAAGCTGAATATCAATCAATTGAACATTTTTATCTTGAAATCTGGTGTTTAGATGTTTGAAACCGAATAACGCACGAAATCGCCGATACAATTGTTCGGCTTTGATTTCAGTCCAATTTACTTTTGTAATAGAAGGGATTATTTTAGGAGCTTTGATAAGAAGAAAATGTGCTTATTAGACTTAGGTATGTATGTAATAAACCAAACTTTTACCAAATGTTGCAAGCTCATTATTCTGTTTTACGGCGGTTTTTACACTATTTGGGAAATGTTGTAAAGTGTTGACAAGTAAATCTGCACCCTCTTGCGCTAGTTGAGTATGTAGTTCCGGCATGAGAATGTCATCTCGTATGGCTACCTCGCGCTGTGCTAAGATCTAAAAAAAAGACATCTTGAAGGGATTGCATAGAATATTTTTTAACAAACTTACATCGCCGACATCAAAGTGTTTTGGTTCTATTTTCATAATAGATACACCGGTTTGTTTGTCCCCATGCATGATGGCATAAATAATTGGGGCGGCGCCACGCCATCGGGGCAGTAAACTGGCATGTACATTAATCATACCGCTGAAATTTGGAATTATTTTCATTGAGTAAAGAATTGTGGAGTTATGTGAATTCTAGCAAGGTTAACCTTGGAAATGCTTTGATTATCTTTTCTGGTATTAAGTGTCCGAAAGACACTACAACACCTAAATCATATCCCTCACAAGCTTCCGGTGTCACTGGCCATCTGTGCAGGATTAGCCCTTTTTGTTCTGCGTAGTTACGAACACAATTTGCTGGATTTTTAAAAGATGTCACTACGCCCAAGGCGTTTATTCCTGTTTGATCGTAACTTATGATACATAATTAAAAATCACAGTGCAATAAATTTATTTAGTTACATACTAATTGTTGTGTAGCGCTTGTAGGCTTGGTAACGAAAACGCATCGGTACCAAAAAATAGCACCTTCAAAACGGAATTTTTCGTTTTCGCATCCGACTGAGTTTGGGAACAACTCCATCTTTGGTGATTTAAAATAGCAAACAAGCTTTCATTTATTTTCCTTCGATATTTAAAGAAATTTATTGTGAGTTTATTATTGTAAAACATTTTTGATCAAAAGTTGAAAGTTACACAAACCTTAATATCACAGCTGACCAGTATTTGGCATTTAAATTTAACCAGTTTTTTAGGTTAAGTGAAAACAGAGATGTTAAATTGCTTCAAATATTCCGTTTGGGCCTGTAAAATAAATGTGTAAAAGTATTTTCACACATGTTGAAACTTAAGTTAGAAGCCCGATTATGTAACCTTAAGTCAACCTAAAATTCAACGTTATCTCAAACATACCTTTCTGAAAGTACCATATTCCAATTATTCTTTAAATTGTTTTCGACAAATTTTGTGGGGGCTACAGTACAGTACAGTAGGGATCCAAATGACGACAAGGCTGTTCAATTTTAGTCATCTTTTATCATGGACAGGTGTCCCGATACTAACACACCTGAATAGATGTCTAAAATTACTTCTTTTTTTTTAATTTAGGAACGCCCTACTAGTTTTGATTACTAGAAATCAGCGAAGCAAAACGTCAAAATTAATCAGCAGTTAATGCATTTTGTTTCACATCAATTTCTCTACGTAAACTTATTTTCGCTTCTTTTTTCTGTCCAGTATTTTCTTAAAAATATTAGATTACATGTAATGAAAACACAAGCTTTTTACTAATGGTCGTCCAAAAGCAAATATAAGTTAAGGTGCCAAAAAGTTAATTTAGTCATCACTACAAGTTAACAGAAAGCTAACAATGGAATCTGGGCCAAGCTCTGGCACTCTTGCTTCTGAATATGCATTGCGTGTTGCATTGCAAACAATGAAGGAGCGCTGCCTTGCGCTGCAACGACGTTTAACAGAGCTGGAGGAGGATAATGGAGAATTGCGATCTCGTATTGATCAAAGTAAGCAAGGAGACGCAACACAACACACAAACGGCCTCATAAATGGTGAGACAAATGAATTGCTACAATTGCGTATGCATGTCGAAGAGTTGAGTCGTCAAAAAGAGCAATTAAATGAACACATTAATATGGTTTCAAATGAAAATCGTAACCTATGGTCACGCCTCTCTCAAATAGCCAAAGACAAAAATGGTCGCAATGGTGACACAAATGAACAAGATTACACCACTGTTAATGATGGTGAACATGATTATATCAATGCTAGTCCACGAAATGGTAGTGGCACCAATCAAAATCTAATACGTTCCAAAACATTTACACAACATTCACCAAATCCTAATTTACGCCACAAATTAATTTCCAATGGTACTGAATTGAGTATGGAAGAAGTTGCGCTGGAACAGAAATACAATGCTGTCGAAGCCAACGACGATTATGCGGCACCAGTAGAGGGTGAGTTGGGTTTCGCCTATCTAAATGTCGATGACGGTAATTGCGATGATGCTGATTTTGCATCTGTGGCTAAACAGTATATGGAAGATTTGCAAGAAATGCGTCTAGAAGCAATTAGACAACAACAAGAACTTAATTCAGCACTCACTGTGATTGAAACCAAAATTGGTAAGGCATACTATACGACATATACATACATATATTTGTAAGTGTCTAAATATTATTTTTCTTCTTCCAGCTTTGCAACCATGCACAGATTGCGCAAAGAAATCACAGAAACCGGAAATGGCTGACAAGAGCCTAGAAACTGATGAAAGCCTTAGTGAAGTACTGCAAGTCAATAACAAAGTTGTGTCCAAAGACATCAAAGTATGGCCTGGTAGCAATGAAGCGGAAGAAGACGACATGTCATACACTAATGATGGGGAAGAAGAGACCTTCTTAGGTGTAGACGCCTATTATAATAAAGTACAAAACGTACTTAATACTGATGCCAGTGAGCGTTTGTGTCCAATGTGTGGAAAAGTTTATGAAAGCACTATTGCATGGGAAGCTTTCCAACAGCACGTTGAAGCGCATTTCCTTGATAGGGATGATATTGAGTTCTGACAAAACCCGAAAATTTATTTTTCTTCAGAGTTATGAAATAAGGGGAAGCGATTGAATGAAATTGTACTGCGTGCTTGTAGCTATAATGGACTGATTTTGTTGCAAAAAACTGTTTTTATAGTAAATAGTGTGTCGCATATTGAAAAAACGAGTTTGAAAATGCGTATACAACAATAATTATAGAAAATAATTTAAGTATTTTAAGTAAAATTACTGTGCTAAACTCAAAATTATATAATGAAAAATTCTTCAAAAATAATCAAGGAACAAAAATTCAAACTATTTGCAAACACATTTTTTTCTCTTTTTCTCACCCTCCCAATTAAATATTTACATTTGGTTTTATAATTCATTTTTGTAAGTAGTTTTGCTTTTGTGGGGAGATTGTAAGCAATCTTTTTCCAAAAATAAGCTTTAAGCCTAAATATATGTGTGTACATTAAAACAACCTTTACCGAACTGAGCGTCATTTTTTACTCTCTGAAAATGGACTACTCAAACGTATAAGAGCTCTCTTGATCTTGTGAACGATTCCACTTGCTCTTATCCATGGTAGACAAATAGTTAGTTAGTGAGTTGATATTGCCTATGTCCTTACAATTTTTTAGTCCCAAAAGCAAGGCCATGCCCATGAAGATGAGTTTGCTCAACAGCAACAAATCTACTGTTACCAGGAGGTCCCTAAAAATAGTTTTAACCTCAAAGTTTTCACGGTCGCACAGAAAGTTAGTATTAAAGTAAGAAGAACAAACTTGAATAAAATTAATATTGCCAAAAAAAATTATTGTTTGCTTTTGGAGAATAAAGAAACATATCTCATATATGTATTAAGAGTTCATGAAGTTTTTTTTTTTTATTTAAATAGTTTCTTTAAAAATGTTGCTTAAAACTAATCTATAAATTCGTGAGTGATACTGTGGATAGTTGACAAGCGCTTTACCGAAATCTCGACACGGAAGCCCGATTAGTTGCAGATGACTAAGTGGGAATAACGGAAAATTTGTCAGCATGATAAGCAAAGTGTTTTATAAAAATTTTACCAAATTAACAAATGAATTATTTATTGATTTTGCTGTTAGATTTTTAAAACCGCACATGGGGAAATGTATATCAATACATATATATATTGACATACCTACATACTTATATACATATTTTGAAAAGTAATTGCCGTACATACATATAGATGTATAAGTATTCTTTTTCTATTTTTGTCAAAAATTTTTTCGGCTTTTAACCGGTTTTTTTTTTTTATTTTTGTATTCACTAAATGTTTTGAACAAAAAAATTGAAGGTACAAAACGCAAGAATTCATATAATTATATCATACTATTTTACATAAATATGCCTTTCACTAGTGTGCATATACCCACGTACATACATATGTATGAATGTACATACACACAAGACAATGAGAACTGATAAGACCAAAATCAACTTAAGACGCCTACTTTTCGGCTACCGGAACCGCTTCAAGAAACGTACACAGGGCTGTATGTTTGTTTGTTTATATGTGTATGTGTGTAAAATACATAAATAGAATTAAACTGGCTCACACACTCGCCAAGTTGTTTGCTCTCACGCACACTAAAAACCTCAACTTATGGCATAGCAATTCCAGGGAGTGTGAGCAACGAAACCTAACGTATATTATACATACATATGTATATGTTTATCTACAGGCATTCATACATACTTTTGTTATTTATTTACATAGCGTTCATTGTGATCTCTTTCCACAAGCAGGAGCTTCCGGCCAACTACGAGTATGCTTAACCACCTACATAAATACACGTATACATACGTGTATATATATTTAAATAGATACATCTATACATACATATATATGCCCGCCCGCTTATGGTTGTTCTCTAAAGCTTAGCTTACGTTAGCCGGCTCGAATGCTTTACGACCTCACTCGGTTTTGCTTTTGCTGTTTTTTTGTTGGCTATAAATTGATTGCAGACTCCACATCAGCGCTTTAGTTCAATCGCAGTAATAACCGATATCTGCAACGGTGGCATGATCGCATTTTAGCCGAATTTAGTTTATCTTCGAAATTAGTTTGCGTTTAAAACTAAAATAAAAACCACTGAGTTGGATTTTAAAACGCAAATCTTAAAGTGACGCTTAATTTTTGATTTCAAAAATTAGTTTTTGAAGAAGAAAAAATGGTTCTAAAGAAGCCGTTATTCTTTCTGCTGCATTTATTGGCCGGTAATGATTTGACTTTGATAAAAAAAAATATACACTAAATACATAAAAAAGTTAATAACATACAAATTGAAGCAATATATATTCATAGAGAGTTTTAAGAACAGTGAATTTTCAGCGACGAGTACTATTTGAAGTGAAAAATTTTATTAAATGCACTCAAAAAAATAGCATATTAATAAAAAGATGCTAAAAAATTGTGGTTTTAAACAACCGATTGTTGTACATAAGCTAAATGTTTTATTAATAAATAAATAAAAAAAATATTATTCAAAAAATAATAATTTATTTGCATATATATATGTATGTTTGTATGTATATATGTATGATTCAACAAATTATTATTCGAAAAGCATAACTTTTTTGCATATACACACGGTTTAATATATAATCTTTATCAGAAAAATGTGTAATTTCGTTGATTTAAATTTTCATCAAATTTTTAAACTCCTTTGCACGATGTTATGTCACTCAATAACATTATTATTGAATTCAAAAATAATAAATACTTTTCTGGCAACTGCCAAAATAAATTTTGTTTTCATTTCTCAATTAAATAATTTGTAAAGTCCCTTTTCTAAAAAAAATTTAAATTTTCTTATGAAATCTAAAAAAAATTTAAATTTTCTTATGAAATTTTTTTACTAATTAAAAAGTTTTACTGCTTTTTCCACATGTTTTTTTCTTTTAAAAAAACCTAATATTATTTAAATTGGCAAACGGTTCTTTTTTAGTAATTTAGTAAATTATATATAAAATCTATAATTTTAAGGACAGTTAAATTTTTCATTTTTAATTAAAACGATATTAATTAGTAGTGTTTCTTTCTCGAAACAACTTAAAATTTTAATTTAATTGTCTCTCCGAATGGCAGTACGCAATGTTAACAACTCTACTACCGCGGCCCCATGATATACATATATGATAAGGGTATAAGCAAATTAAATAAGTGTTTTTTATTACATTTTCACTTTTATTTAATTCAAGTTTTGAATTCAAAAATATTTGTTAAAACATAAATTTTAGGTGATTTTTTTAATTTTTCCAATTTTTAAGTATGAACTAGTTTTTTTTCCAGCACTAAAATTATCCTAAATTCCTTTTAGTTAATTTATTATGTTTTATATGTCGTTTTCAATTATTTTATAAAAATTTTAACTAAATCATAAAATGACAATTAAGAAAATTATTATTATTTAATATTTAATGATTGATAAGTTGATGTTTCAATATCTTTTAATTCTATTCAAAGTATTATTTCCAATTGTAAGCACATGTAATTAATTAAAAATAATAATAACAATATAAAACAAAAGAAATTTTTAATCCGTTTAGCTATTTCTGGTCGTCAGAATTTTGATAATTTTTAATAATTCACAGACAAACTCACATTCAATGATTTCATGTTTAGCATATTCCACATTTAATTAAATTAACTTTCTTCATTTTTTTTTGATATTTTTAGCCATGTATGTATGTACGTATGTATGTGTGCCTGCTTGATTATTAAAATGCAATTTCTGCGGTGAAAAAATTTCGAATTTCGCAAATCAAAAAAATAAAAATTCAGAAAGCTTCCCACGAGTTGCACTGGTGTTAATGGCAGATTTTGTGAAGAAATCGGTTCTGCAATTTTCGGAACATTCAACAAAGTTTTTCGCGTATAAGTTAACCGCTATATTTTCGCATAATTTATCAATAATTTCTGGCTGAGGTTAGTCACTCGTTGCTCTAATGGTTCATGAAATTGTCTTGAGTAAATGTTACAAAATTTAATTGTAATAAGCCAAAATTTAATGCAATTTTTTTAAAAATGTAGCTTTTTTTTAGTTTTGTGCCAAATAATTAAAATTTTTCAAAAAAAAAAGAGCATATTCATTTCATAAAATAAATAAAATGCCCCTCTTAAAATACAGCTAAAAAGATAAAGAGGAAAATATTCCAGCATCAGAGGCGAAAAATTATAAATGAAATTGTGCCGTCACGTGATTGCAATGCTTGAATATACTTATCTTTATTGAATTTAATAATCGGCTTACTCTTCTGTCATATTTAAAAAATTTGGTCACCTTAATAATATTTCCTTTTGTGACAATCATGCTTCTTCTTCTACTGCTGCTCACGTGCAATTTGCATTGCACTGCAAATTTGAAGACCGGCCGGCAAATTATTGTGTAATTTACCAGTAATTAAATTTTTTTTGGAAAAAAAGTTTGCCATTTGCCAATTTGTGAAGTGGGTTTTACCTAACCGCATGCTATCTAAACAAGTTTATATCTATTCTTTCCACTTCGAAATGTGTTAATAACCGTAAAATGCATTAAATTTATTATTTATTTATTGATTCACTTCTTTGTTGAAATCGCAGAAGTTTCCCAAAAAGCAAAAAGAAATAATTTACTTGTATGTTCTTCCTGTTTTTTTTCGGTTTTTTTTCTTTATTGATTAGCTTTTTTTTATTATTTTATAATCTTGGTGATAACAAAAGAACTTAAACTAAATAAATATTTATATGTAATTGGCGCTGAAGGGATTTTCGGATGAGGTCCTCCTCCAATTTGTGTTTTTGCATCTTGATGTTTTTCCAACAAATGGAGGGACCTACAGTTTATACTAAGCAGCCTCCGAATGGCTGATGTTTTTCTTTATGAGGAGTTTTATTTCAAGTCAGAAATACACTCGAAGGGGTGTCGAGGGGCGACCGAAATTAGAAAATATAACTTAATTATCATTTATATTAATTTTCTATAACGTTTTGGATGTTAGTACGACACCAGAATTAATAAATATCTACAAAGTTAGTATTATATTGTATTATTCTGTGATGTCATAAGATATGTTCGAAAAACTAAACGTTTTCCAATGATATGTCAGTAATTTTATGACAAATTGGCTATCTGCATGAGCTATCTTCATTATCCTTTCCTAATGAAGTTATAATACAATACGATTTCGTCCATTTAATGGCATATGTAAATTTCAACACGACAATTAAAATGATTCTCATTCATTGAAGGCACATCACGGTCCCAAAAAAATGCCGCTGTGATTCTGTAAGGGGTTAAATTTAAGCTTACCAATTTCCACAACGATGTCCCAGCGTGAAATTTGATGTTAAGGATTATGCTTGCAAATGTATATTGTTTATATAGTAATTGTTTTTTTTTTTTGCTGATAAAACAGCTGATAATAATTTTTTGTCTCTTCTTCGCGTTTTTAGCCCAAAGCTTTTATCTAATCAGCTGATGGCTAATGCACTTACTTACTATGTGCTGTCTGTCAGGGGTACAAAATCGAGTCGAAATCCGTCTTCCATATTAGACATACACGACTAAAGGGTTATCCATTGTGTGGATTCATAAATAAACATAAATAACAGTAATTTCAAACGATTTTTTCATGAAATTCCTTTTTTATTATAAAGCTAGAATATTGGCATTATATGTGAAACATTGACTGCCTCGCAAATTTTTTATTCTTTTATTATAAAAAATCCATTTCTTTTCCCATGCACCCATTCACAAGTTGCATTCGAAAAGTCTCCAAAAAAATTTGCGAAATCTTTTTGGGTACAAAAAGAAACATACATATTTATATATATTATTAAAGGAAGCGCAAATCTATAGAACTAAAGAAAATTTTCTACTTTTCACCCATTTGCGTTCTTTCATCGACGAAAAAGAAGCTCGATGTGACCAAGTATATCTTTATGAGCGTCTGGAGCGTACTTGTTAACGCTTGCTTGGCGACCTTAACGCCAGGTTGAGCAAAAAAGGTATCTTCCGTTTGAGGTAATGTTCGACCACTTTTGGCACATATTGGACGCTATCTCAGCCAGACCTCGACGAATCTTAGGTTTTCATGTGCTCAAGAGTTAAAGTTTTATTCGCGTGGCCCCACGCACGATCGCAAGATCTCGGTGGCCAAGTGACATCGCCAAGACGAAAGTTTGCGTGGTCGGCAAATTTCTTTTCCAATAAAGCCCAATTCGCCTTTATTGTGCGTGTCGTGGCACCATCTTGATAAAACCACATATTGTCCAAGTGGTGGTCTTCCATTGCAGACCAAAAAAAGTCGATTATCATACGGCCATAATGATTTTTGGGTATAATGTCCTCTTTTCAATTATTTGAGGATTTCCGGAGTCCCACATGCAACGGTTTTCGCTTGTTTGCGCATTCCCCGAGAGAGAAAGATGACTTGTCGCTCAAGAAAATTTCATTGGAAAAATCGTTGTCCACTACCTTGTTTTTCTAGCTCCCAATCGTCGTATGTAGGGTGTTTTGAATGGTCAGCTGGCTTCAGTGCTTGTGTGAGCTGGACTTTACGATGTGAGGTTTAGGTGTAAGTGGAAAACACGCCATAATCTGCCATAACAAAGTCGCAGTTGTTGAGATCGCCGAAAATAGGCATGCTCGAGTCTCCGACTAAACTTACACTTACAGCAGCCATTTTTGAAGTGGCACGAGTAATGCGGTAAGGATGTACAGACCTTACAATATCCAGTCACTTCAATTTTATTTTCAATTTTACCAATCGTTTGAGTAGTTGGATCACCATAATCTCCTCTTAAAGCACAAGACGTGGCCACGATCTTTTTAAGCGAGCCATTTTCAGAAATACCTGATTTTTGTCTATAAACAAAACATGTTTGGTTTGACAGCTGTATAAATACAGACATGTACTGTTGAATCCGTGAAATGCATGACACTATATACAAATGTATGTAACTCAGTTGAGTAAATAGTTGACCTTTTATAGTTTTAGGTTTTTTTTTAATTTTTTATAACTTTTGGTTTATTTATATTAATTTAAAATGATTTCTTGTGTTTGCATTCAATCTGCACTCAAAACGTGAAAATATGTTTGAATTAATTTATGTAATGATTTTTCTTAATTTTAAAAGCAATAACTACATATACATAATACACCAGGACATAAATAAATATTTTTAATAATCACGCGTTGAAATAGAAGGGGAGAAAATGAATTAGGAAAGTTTTGAAAATAAGCTCAATCATTTTGTTTTTACAGTTGTTCTTTCATTTGTATGCACCATATACCAAAATCATACAAGGAAGCTTGTATACCTATATAATATATGTATGTACTTTGGTAAATTGAATTTGGAGGACCCTAAACTATCATCTGAGGCATTCCAGCAGAAAAAGCGAGAGCATTAAACATACATACACATGTACATATATGCATATAATATTAATTAATTATTTGATTATTTTCTTCACTTCGAAAATGTGATTTTTTGTTGTTTTATTAAAATATAGAAATTGCCGAAAATTGTAGCAGTTACGACTAATCTTAAACTAGTTGCCTAAAGAAATGACTAATCTTAAACTAGTTGCCTAGAGAAAATGAATAAATAAAAATAATGATCAATAAAAAATAATACACTATACAAAAAAGTGACACATGTTACGCACCTACATATGCACGTATGTAAATAAAAGTGCCAAATATGTGCACCAAAAGTATTAATAATGCGCTCAGAAAGAATTATTGCACTTAAATAATCTCGGAGGTGTTAGAAATCATGTTAAACAATAAAAACAAATGTCACAAAAATTATAGAGTTATATTTTTTTTTTTTTGAAAGAAATTTGCATATACACGTACATATATACGTTTAGTATGACAATGCAAAAACCATAAATATAATACAATTAATATTAATGGAGTAACCATCAGCGTGGTTTTTTATTTACCATTTACACATACACATATGTGTATATACATACATTTTGTGGTCCATATTTAGTTCACTTTCCACTTCAATCACATAAATCTTTTTTTCGTGTCGCATTAGAAATGCTCAAGCAAATATTTGATGAAATGCAGACCTACATAACTGCATACATGCACACATATGTACATATGTACACGCAAATATATATATGTATTTATGCATGTTCATGAAATTAAATAAAAATTGCAAACCTGTGTACATAATAAAATCAAACTCGTAACGGTTATCTCATGTCACGGTTAATTCATTTATACTTTTTTTTTTTAGTACAAACATAAATTTTGCAACTTTTTTGTTTGCGAATTACTTTTACCTTTATTGAGTTATTTTATTTCAACAAGTTTTATTTATTATTTATATTTTATTACTTTACTTTTTTACAAACACACACACACACACACACACACACACGCAATCAAATAGCACGTCAAATCGCAGATCAGAGTGCCCCAGAGTGGGATTATCGTGATACGAATAGATGGATTGCGGATTACCCGACTTGTGGCGGTGCACAACAGTCGCCGATAAATTTGGATCATTATAACGTAAGTGCGGAAAGGTTTATTTCCATAAATACGAGGGTTGCATTTTATGTTTCGGGATTACAGAACAAATATTAATAATCGAAAATAGATTTATTGTTTAAGCCAATTGTCGAAGCACTTTCGTCATTCGGATATCTCGGAGGTATCTCCGAAGCATACGTTCTCCGCCTTTTCAGGTATCGACAAACGTTGACCTCTCCGTTTATTTTTTATTTACGGGCATAAAAAGAATTCATTTGGTGCCATTTGGTGAATGACTCATCAAATCGATGTTTTGAGCTCTCAAAAATCCAGTTATTGTAGTCGATGTGTGAGTGCTGGCATTTTCACCTAACTCAATGTCATGGACGTGTTTCAAAGTACCGCTATCTTTATATTATTTATTTACTTTTTTTTACATTTCCCTCGACCAATCGTCAGGAGCCTCTTTTTGAGCTATTGCCATGTTGGGTGGGATTCAACGCGAACAATTGCTGATGCAAAAATGTTTGTAGTTGTCTTAATCTCACGTGATATTCCACTATCAGTTTGCATATAAAATCAATAGTTTCCGGAACAACAACTGATTTTCAACGAGCTTCACGAAATTCGCCGCGGTCTCGATTGAATTCACCATAAGGTCGGTAAACACTGGTCCTTGATGAAGCCAGAGAACGTAGAATAACGAGAAGGACCGATTGCGGACAGCATGTGAACTGCCATAATCGACAAAAGAAATAAGAGACTATTACACCAGTGTCGCCAGAAATTTACTCTGTTTGTCGACATTTCTGAGCAAGATAATAGTAAGTTAATAAAATAATTGTCTCCCAAATATCATGCTTCTGTAAATAATTTTTCAGTCTCTGGAAGCTCAGTGTTAACTAGTGGTGAAATAGTGTTTTACTAATATCGTATAGAGGTGAAATAGTCTCTTAGCAATCCCGTGGAATTGGAACAAATGGCAATCGGCACGCCCCATTGCTTCTCTTTAATATACGTTCTCTGATGAAGCTTCATCGCCAAAAATTTATTTAAGTTCACCAATGCTGTGTTGCTGAGTTAATCCACTTCGAAAATAGTAAAAAGATGTCCCGAAATGAATTTAATTTTTTTGGTTGAAATGAATATTTAAATTTACTGTAAACCATATTCTCGTATTGATTTAATTAAAGAGTCAATAAATAAATAGAAAATGAACTAAATGAACTAAATTTGAACAGCCAAAATTCTAGTCCTAGTCCGACCAAAATCCGAAATTATAAATAATTGCGGTCAGCACTCGGCAGAGAATGTTCAACCTATCCTCATAAAAGCTCATCGTCTTCTTAGGTCTCTCCTTTTTTTTTTTTTTTTTTTTTTTTGAAAACATCAAGAAGATTTTTAGTTTCGTTAGTTGATTTTTTTCTTGCTTTCCCCGATACAAATATTTTTTAATTATTTATAATATTATATATACAATATATCTCCCTTCCGCTTTTTTGTCTTTTGAATTTCGCGGCTATGTACAAAGCGATACAGAGCTCGTATCTGGCAACACTATACATAATTTGAAAGGTCTTGACATAACCTACAAAACAACGCTATGCATTATTAGTTTGGATATTGCGTTCAACAGTTATATACGTGTAAACATGGAGTTCACTAACGCCGAAATTCGCGCTATTTTAAAGTTTTCTTCGTTAAAGGCAAATCCGCTAGAGAAACGTTCCGTGAGATTAATGATATTTTTTGGGGGATGATACTCTATCACTTCGAACCGCGGAGGAATGGTTTCGACGATTCAGAGCCGGTGGATAAGCCAGCCGCGGAAGACCTGTGACGACAAATACCGATCAAATCATGGAATACATCGAGTTAGACCGGCATATAGCATCTCGTGACATCACCCAGGAGATGGGAGTTAGTCACCAAACCATTTTGAACCATCTGCAGAAGGCTGGATACAAAAAAAAGTTTGATGCTTGGGTGCCGCATAATTTGACGCAAAAAACCTTGTGGACCGAATCAACGCCTGCGATATGCTGCTGAAACGGAACGAACTCGACCCATTCCTGAAGCGGATGGTGACTCAAAAGAGGCTTGTGAAAAGTGGCTGTCCGAATTCTTCGCAAATAAGGAGGGGGGCTTCTAGGAGGAAGGTATTATGAAGTTGCCGTCTAGATGGAAACAGATCATCGAACAAAACGGCGCATATATATTATAATGTTTACACCCATTGGGGCGATTTTTGGCTGACAATGGACAAAATGAGGAATTTACGGTTTTTTCAAAGCCACCACCGAATGTTTAATGGAATTTCATACGAAGTTTTTGAAATTTTCTATTGAAGAGGACTACAATTTGACAAGTTAATTTCCATAAACTCTATGAACTAATAACCCTCCGCATGGTAGCACACACTGCACTGAAGTAGTAGAGAGTGGGGAGAGAAATACATGCATGTGCCCAATGGGAAATTTGTTTGAGTAATCTTCAGATGTAGCAGAATTGTTTGCTTGAAGTAATGAGATTTGCATTTGTATTTACAAACATACAGATATTTAACTGACGATTTGCTTTAAAATGTTTTCATCTTTTGATATAACAAATATGTCAAAAGATTTGCATAATTAATTCATAGTTTTGTTAAAATTTGTACACATATGTACATATGTATATGTGTATTTGTTAATGGTCCAATTAGCAAATTGCATAATTAATAACCGTACCTGTTTTGAAGTGATATATTAATTTTAGTTGTTGATATATTAAGTGACAACGCATCAAGTTTTATTTTTTCCTAGTTTTTTTTTTTTTTTTAATTCTATTAATATAATATTTTTCAGTCGGTAGGTTCGCTAAAACCAGCTCTAAAATTCAGAAACTATGCACAACCTTTGGCTGGCAGACTCACGCTCGTCAATAACGGTCATACTGGTATGAAATGATAATTGTCATACTATATTTATGTACATTTATATATTATTTAATTAAAAACAACTCAGCTGATATCATGCTACCGGAAACTATACGTGGACCGCGGCCGACCATTACGGGTGGTCTATTGAATGGCATCTACGAAGCACAATCGGTGCACTTTCATTGGGGCTCACCAGGTGGCGGTAGAGGCTCAGAGCATACTGTCAATGGCTACCGTTATGATGTTGAAGTGCACATTGTGCATAAGAATATGATATACGGCAATGTACAGGAAGCCATGCAGCGTCCAGACGGTTTGGCAGTTTTAGCCATTATGATCAACATCGCAGATGTAAGCGCGAATGGAAATTCAAAAATAAATAATAATAGTAATTATAATAAGTATCGCACCAATTATTTTACAGTTTCCACAATCCTTCTATCCGGGTCTGAATAGGGTTTTTAATACACTGCCGCGGGTAAGAGCAGCCGAGACGAATGCAACGATAAATAGTCAACTTAGTTTGAACCATTTCTTGGGTGACGTCGACACTAGAAACTTCTTTGCTTATCGAGGTGAGTGACAACGCGGAATAGCGAAAGCTCAAAAATAGATTTTTCACATTAAATTAAATTCACAGGTTCCCTCACGACACCACCCTGTTCCGAAGCAGTCACCTGGCATGTCTTCCCAAGACCACTTTTGGTTTCACGTGATTTGGTAATTATACACCCACACAACCATATATGTATTTTATTTATTTTTGATGCAGATTGCAAACTTCTTCGAGCTCCGACAGAAAAACGGCGCGTCTCTATGGAATAATTTCCGACCGCTGCAGGCGTTGAATAGGCGCGTTGTTTACCGACGTAAGGGCGGTAACTAGAGCAGAGAAATTTTGTTCGATTGACATCAGCACGACAATGGCATCCATTGTTAAAAATCAGCGCCACCTATAATTTATTTAATTTAATTTAAATATTTAATTTAGCATAAATCCGATATTTTTTGTAAATAATATTTTACTGTAAAAAATAAACTCTTAAATATACATATAAATAATACCATTATGTATTTTGTAAATTTTGCAAACATTTAGAGACTAAAAAAGTGTAAAAAGTTTTGACCTCACGCAAGGGCGCTCCAAAGGACCAGCTTTTATAGTTCACACGACTACTTCCGATCGTATCACCACTGTTGGTTTCTCGGATATAGCAGCCGACAGGATTCTGGACCAAATATTTGACGAAAAGAAGGGAAGTTTATACCTTGATTTATTCAATGGTCTGTCGTTTTAAGACACTAAATCTCTGGAGGCAGAAAAGTATGGTCAATTAGGCGGTGCCTTAACCTCCAATGTGATTCACCTTTAATTCTAAGAGCAGAGTTTTGGAAGAGCATGAAACGAAGGACTCTTTTAACGGCTTAAAAGATCGCGATAAAATTCTTAGTTAACTTTTTGGATAGTTCGAAGAACTATGAAGTAACAGTTGCTGGTATAATGTTAGTTTCTACCTTTGCTTCTGATCGCATATATTGTAACCATCCAGATGAAGCCTACGGTCTCGAGAGCCAACATATTTGGTTAAAGGCCGCAATTCTACTTTCACAAGACTTGATAAGCAAAGCGTAAGCCTCTGGTGGTGAAGGAGAAAAAGGCGTGACATCTCCAGCTATTAATCATATAGTCAGCGGACTATCGTCTGGGCGTACACGACAGCCTTAACTTTAAAGTCGTAACATATTTCGCCTATCATTCTTGCTCAATCTCTCTAAGTTGTTCATCACATACATTCTGCGGAATGGTGCAGACGCGTGGACGATGCCAACTTCCGATGAAGCAGTCCATAAAAGCAGAGGAAATGCAGTACATCGAGACCTAGCTTTAGTTGATAAGAAGAAGAGGTACACTTGGGTCCAAGAAAAATTTTCTACTACAAAACCAAATGTGAATTAGTATAAATACGAGGTTATATTGTTTATAGACAATTCGTTCTTGAGCTATCGTTAACCAAGCCACATAGCTGAAATGTGAAAAAAGTCTAATATCGTTCCATTATAAAGTTTCTTATCACGCAAGGAGAACCAGTTGCGAACATAATTACTAAGTTTCCCTTGGTTTACGGCAACTCTTGTTCGGGAAGAACCATAATTTACAAGTGGCATAGTTTACTTAAACGGGGAGGAGAATCGATGGAAGATGACTCGAGGCAGGACAGGAACAGGAACTCGCAAAAAAGTTGAAAATATTGTGCTCGACGATGCTCGAATAAAGAAAAACCAACTCGCTAAATGGTTGGTGTATCCAGTACATTTTTTTAAATCTTGCATGACTAAGGTCAGCGCAAGATGCGTGTCGAAGAGGGCTTCGATATTTTGAACCACCCACCCTACAGGCCTCATTATTTACATTTACGTATAAAAAAAATAATGAAAAAAAAATTGAGAGATAAGAATTTATCGCCGATGATGGAGTCAAGGAGACACTTTGTAGTTAAAGAGAAACCATTTTCTATGACGGTATACAGAATTCAGTTGAAAGATCAGATAAATGTCTAATCCATCTTGCTAAGTTAATTTAATGAAAAAGTACAATAATTTGGATTTTTATTTCCACCTTTTATCTCCCATTCCCCGAATATTGTAACGCTTTCTCCTCACTAATACTTGCCTGCGCGTCAATAAACAAAAAGACAATCAACAGACATTAAAGCAATCTTCTTCTCTACTGGCTTCTGCGAGCACTCATCAACAGTCCTGCGAAAGAGATCTATGGAACGGCATTTCAAAATCCTTACGTATCGTCGCCAAAAACCAATTGGTTTTCGAATTTATCAAAAGAAGAGCTTTTATCATAAGGGATTCCGCTCTGCACAGGAATGGAAAAATACTGCCTATCTGGCAAAGTTGCAATTGACAGCAACATCAACAGCATGTTAGGTTAAAGAGGGAAGCGAGTTGCATTATCAGCGGAACCAATAAAGTGCACGCAGAGCTTGTAAAGCTGCCGATAAGGGTAACGCTAAAAAATTCTATGAAAGAATGTGACGACTCAAAGAAGGTTTCAAAACCTCATGTAAAAATGTGATCACTAATCTGAGGACCGATGTTCAGAGTTTCAGTTCCCGAGTTCATGAAGGGAAAACCGCTCTAGGCTACTTGCAGTGATGAACAAAACATATATATAACCAGGTGAATCTGCAGTCGATGTCGATGGCTGTAGATGACGTTGCATGATGAAGCACGATTAGCGATCGCTAGACTCGGGTTGCATGAATTGCTGGTCGAAGCGAAGAGGTGTAAAGTTGTATATTTAAAATGGTCGTATGAGATGGGACTTTGGATCTCGTTGATCTACCATAGGCCAGATATTTCCCAGGCGAAAAATGCTGGAAAAGACTTTTAAGCGGTATTAGATAGTACGAAAAGCAGCTGTCATTACGCCGCTTAATATGCATTTAGTATTTCTACAAAAGTTATGCGTCTGTATGAAGTGTCTCTGAGCCACACCAAAAGCTTCGTCAGCCGTTCGAGACTGACCCAGATTTTAGACAAGGTGAATCTTTGTCGTCTGCGTTCTTTCACATTACGCTGAAAATAATAATAAGGGTTATAACAATTGTAATTTTTACTTGAAAACATCTGCTTTACTCGATATTGTGTAAAGCCTCGCCTTCGAGAAAACACTTGTCGTTATATGAATAATCAATAAAAGATTTCCTTTTTCCTGTAAAGTACACAATATTTTTGTTTTGTTCTTATTTTATTATTCATGTTCCTTATTGTTTTAAATTTACTCTACTTTTCCTCCTTCGTGAATGCTCCAACCATGTTTTAATTATTTTTTAAAGACCTAAATCAGAACTAGTCCACTTTTCATTTATAATTCGTTAACAAAAAGCTATTTAATTAAGCAATTGTTTTGTGAAATTCTAGAGCTCCGTTGAACTAATAAAACATATTTAAGTATGCCACACACACACGAGTATATACGTACATATTGGGATCAATAACCAGTAATGGGAATGATCTTAAAAGTAATTAAAAAATATGTTAATGCATTTTTTGCATTGTTGATATTTGTGATATTTGGGATATTTGTGATATTTTTTTTTTTGTATACGAGTATACTACATGTGGGTACATAGATTTATTACTAACATATTTTACCGCTAATGGCGATAAAAAAAAACCAATCTGATTTATCTCAGCAAGTTTATCCATTGAGGGAATCTCAACTCTTGGTCACGCTTCAACAAGACTGGTCCCAACCGGGTAAAATGTGTTGATTTTTCCATTAGTTTCTTCAAGGTCAAGCGATATGCACATACAAACCTCCATAGGCATCTAGGTATGTATGCATGTGCTCGCATTAACGCATATGTTTTGATTTTTTGTAGGTTTATGATATAAAATATAGAAAGAACACTACATATGTACACGTATGTGCGAGTGGAGTATAATGGAGGGCAGGCGTGCAGGCGTGCGGTGGGCAGGATATGACCGAATGCAAATTGGGATAATAAAAATCCAGAATAGGTAACTTGAAACGAGCAGAAACTTGTGCAAGAATTCTGAAATTAAAGTGTTCTTGTTTTTAGTTTTATTTATTGTATTGTTTTTTACTATTGTTGTTTTATTTTTCTGGAAAAAGTAGCACAGTAGTGCCAACGGAAATACAGGTTTGCACAAGTATGTATGCAGGTATGTATTTTATGCATATGCCAAGTTCAAGCAGACGTCTTTATGCATCACATATTTTATTTGCATAAATTAGCTCAAACGTATATACATATGTAAGCACATATGTGTGTATGTAAGCATAAAAACCTGCAGCTAAGTGCTGAGTAACCGAAGACTACACCATATTAAATGTTTGGTAATCAAAAATATAGTTATTTATGCACGTTTGTATGTATGTGTATGCATAAGCTATACTGCGTACATATGTGCATACTTACACATGTACACATGTGACAGCAAAGAAGTCATCTTAAATATAATGAATTTAATAAATGTTCTAACGCCGCTTTAAAAGTAAAGTTGCTTCACCAGCACAAGAAGAGAGACCACAGCCATTGGAGACCGAGAAGAGTTTCTTCTGGTTTGCCGTATGTATGGCCATGCGAAAATCGAGTTTAACACACGCACATGCACAGCACTGCAAACAACTGTGTGTGGGTGGGCACGTAAAAGAATACGAGTAAGCATGCTTTAGGTTTACGGTTTTGTATGCGCACGTGCTTCCAACCAACGTTCTCTGTTTACCGTTTATGAATTAACTGGGAATTACAAGTAATTGTAAACAGATGAATTAGAGCCACTCTACAGTGAGACGTTTGGTAACAAGCTTAGCTTAAAGTGATTTCTGTCTGATAAATATTTTGGACTCTTTCCCACAACTCGTTATTCAGCGCTAATATTTTGAGATTCGTTTTTTTTTTGTTTTTGTTTTGCTGATGTCACACTCTCTAACTGAGTCTTCCTTCTTTGACAGTTACCGCTTATTGCATATATTGTACATATTTTGCACTAATTCCTAGCCGGTTCCAGTTGCTAATTCGCGAACGTCGTCGTTTTGATTTCTAAATACAGACAGGAATTTTAGTTAAACTATATATGCGTATATGTATAAGCAGCTGTCATTTGTTGGCTCAAAGTCGTGCGAAAACCATTATTATTTGCATTTGTGTGCACTACCAGTTTGTGGGCAGTCGCGTAACGGGTTGCCGTTTGGTTGCTATGCTCATTACCTGAGACTATCCCAACTTTTCCCACTGGCTGTACATATCAGTAAAACAAGCAAAAATACATATAGCAAGTGGGAAGGATCTTGGATCGATTGACGCCAAGAAGAAATCAAAAAAAGCGGAAAATCAAAAAAATCAAAAAAAAAATGTTTAGATAAATTCAACGATCTCCTGAAGATGAAGGGGGAAAACGAGTTACAAAAAAAATATTCGTTGATCTAGTTGAATGGACTCGGTGGTGAATA